GTTTTAGTAAGGTACTAAGAATGGCAAGACTCAATAACGATGCCAGCTAAACGTTTTGGAATGTACCACGTCCACGGTCCGAATTTGGAAATTATCATGCATACAATGGACTCCGGACTATGTGCTTTTCTCCAAGTTCTCCTACCAATATGACGAAGTTGCATAAACAAGGTCAAACAACTTCTATACAACGAAAGGAGACGGCGACCACACAAAGGGCCACATCATCTTGGTCTCTATATCTTCAATACTTTTTATGTTTGCTATCTTCGGTGCTTCTTTGTCCTCTGCTTATTTTACCCCCGTTAGAGAAAGAGGATCAGAATAATTTAAGTAATGAATGTATAATTACTTTTCAAGTATCTTTAGCTCTGCTATCTGAATACTTTTTTTCTTTTATCACTTTATTTTAGTGTGGCAAATTGGCAAGCATCAGATTGGTGCTTAATTATTGTGGCCGTTCTAAAGGCTATGCCTATGTTGAGTTCGCTCATCCTGCTTCTGTCAATGAAGCCTTAAAACTAGATCGCAGTTTTATTAGTGACCTGGATAAAAAGCATGATGCCGATGTCTGCGAAAACACTTTGGATCAACGTCCCATGTTTGTCAGCATCTGCGATACTACGGGAAAGATGAGAGGTCCAACTGCCTTTAGTTTTTCTGGGGGGCTTGAGCCAAATAAACTCTTTGTTAAAAATTTGGACAAAAAGGTCACGAAAAATGCGTTGATGACGATATTTGGCCAGGCCAGTTCACATTTCTTATTATTTTTCTCTTAATTATTATTAATTAAAGTATCCCTCTTGAATTGCATCTTTTTTCATTCGCCTTTTTATGTAATCATCTAATTTGATCCAATAATACCAACATCTTATATTTTGCCTGTCAGTATGGTCAACTAGTGGATGTGCGTATCTCTACTTTTCGTGACGGTTCACCAAAGGGCCATGCATACATTGAATTCCTTACTCCCGATGAGGCTAGCCGCGCCCTAGTGGCTACAGATGGACTTCTGGTCGGTGACAGTATGTTGTCCGTTGCAATCAGCAATCCACCGCCTAGAATTCCCCAAAAAAACCGGACAGATTTCTCATCTACCACCAAGTCAAATCAGATTGAGTCGAAGAAACGAGAGTAAGAACAATTTTCTGCATTTTATATCCATTTTAGTATATATCCATCTTTTAGGGGTCTTTCTGAAGGTCATGGTTTCATTAGCCTTTGTATCTTGTAAATTCCTAGACTCCATGCAGCACAACCGTTGATAACCAACTCTCGGCCTATTTGCTTCGTGTTTTTCTTATAGATAACTGTTATCTTAGCATTATCCCAATAGCCAAGCTTTAATGATTCATCTTGTGACCAAAATAAATCATAAATACCCAACACTTCCCACCTTGAGATGATCACAGTTGTTCAGGCATTTTTGACTAGCCCCGCATGTTTTATCCTCGCATGGATTTTTATTCCTTTAGCATATCTAGCGTTGCCTACAAGCCATTTCTATTCTTCGCATCAGGTGCACCAATTTATATTTGTACTTTTTTAGACAATTTCCTTCAACCTTTAAGCACTTAAAAATCACATAGATTATATTTTCCTTTCTCAGATACATGCATTCCCGAACAAAACTGAGCCTTGGTAATGAGAAACTTGGTCCGAAAGGTCAGCCCGATCGTGTGGAATTCCGACCATCCGAAGACCTCGCCTCTTCTGCTTTAGAAAGGGCTTCATTCGACTCGAAATCCTCAAAGACTAATCAAGATTTTCGAAAATTCTTTTTAGATCTTAAATAATTTTTTTCTTTTAAACTTTTGAATCATAACTCTTAATTTAAATTCCCTGAATTGCGTTATTTTTTGCTCATCGCTTACATCCATTTCCCTCATCTTCCCTTTAAATCCTAGATCAAGTTTAAAGTTCCCGGCCACGAGACTATTTTTGTGGTATATGTGCATCTATTAATTCTAGTATTGTGGTACTTTGAACGACCAAAATAGAACATGAAAGGTAATATAGGCAAGCTGTTTGGAGCTGTTTAGTGACAAGACAGTTTTCATTAACGTAAATTTCATTTCATTTTTAAAAGGTGGATGTAAGGAATTTGTAAATCTGTCTCGTTAATTGAAGGAGGATTGCCCTGAATTTTGTGGCACATGGAGCAAGGCATTCCAGAGCTATCTACGAGGGATTCTTGTTTAGTAAAGATTTTCGCCTTAAGATCAATTTAAGACAAGTAGTTTAAGACCTGGGGTCTGATTGATAGCTATTAGGAGCTTGTAAAGGAGCCCTTGAAGATTCTTCGTTTGTACATTAGTGAGCGCCTACCAAACCTGATTTAAAGGGATTTATGTCATGGAGAACACTCGGACATTCCTCACCCGGTGAATACAATTGAGGAAAGTGAAGCCTCACTACTAAAGTCTATAATCCACCAAAAATTAAGTATTACAAATAGGGGAGGCAAGTGTGATGATGTCAAAGCATATATTTAGTGAAGACATCTGAATTTATTGTTAAATAAAGTTGGATAAAAAATTTAATTAAAATTAGCATGAGCCAAATCTGTTGATACCAAAGGAGCATGCACATGATGAAAAAATATATTAGAACGAGGACGGTTTACTCTCGCTAAACCCGCTCAGAAGGGCAGACCTCTGAGGTTCGTGAAAAAGTTGTTATTGAAAGGAGGGTAGGGAGGCGTAACATCATTCGAGCGATGCCACGACACTCACGAACGAGTTTGGCCGTAAAATTAATCTCACTGGTCTCTTAGTTGTAAGTGGTAAGGTAGATTGGGGATGACAGCAAAACCTCTGGATGCACCAGATCCAGTCATCAGCGTTTGCGCTCATCATTACAATTGTGGCAAATAAATCTGAGCAAGTTACGCTAGTCTAGGTCACTAGCGGGACCCGTTTGCGAGAACGAGATGAAACCTTAACGCGTTATTCTGCATGCATGACAATGACTTGGCCGAGACTGTCGAAAGTAGTATTCTCTTTCTTGATGTATATTTTTACTTGTAGCTGATAAAGCTTATATCCCGATCGTCCATTGTTAGACCTGATTCCTTATCATCTTAAGTATTCGCTTTTATATTCCTCAACACGCTTCGTATAAAGTGTGTCGACATTTTTGGTCAGTTGTACAGTGATCTGCCTACTGGGCAATATTAGCCGTGTCTATTATTTGAGGATGATTAAATATTTATTTAAAAATAGGCAGATATTTAATCTATTCTGCATTGAGGTCAGTTCTTATTGGTGACTTAACTTATAGCGTCAATATCTCCCCTTATTTTCATATCCAAAACTAGCTTTGGCGAAGATCTTAAAAACTATAGCAAATACAACTTTGCTTTAGTGACTGTCCTACCACAGTATGTGATACGGCAAAATGCCTAGCCCTTGAAATTCACGTCTGCCCCATTATCAAAATTCGTTTGACACAATGTGGCTTAGTCGCTAAAGTGCCGATATTGCACCGTGTTGTTATGGCTCGAGCCCTCTCATGTGTCGATAAGACCTAGGCGAGGTCGAAACTACAGTCTATCTTCAATAAGAGTATCTTTTGGAGCGACAAGGCTGTGTAAAATTCAATGGAGATATAAGGTCTATTCGTATCATTGTGGGAAAAAATCAACGGCCAGTCTCATTATCACCTCAAACCAAATATATTGAATACACTTCACATAGATTATTCACCGGTCGTCTTCGGAACTTACTTATTAACGAAAAATTAGCGGCTTTGTTCACGTAAATAATTTATCGGCACAGTCTCGCAATCCTGATTAATTCGTGCATCGCTATCATCCTCATGTGGCTGACATCCAGCGACAGTAAACCACACTATAAAATTCACTAAGAGTTGAAACAATAATTATGGCCGGTTTTTTCTCTACCTATTTCTAATATCCCAACTTTGATCAGCCACTGAGACATCTTGTCATCAAAAGGGGGATACCATCTCATAATTGTGAATTTAAAGTTTATCGCACCGTAATTTTATGTGCAAGCAACTCTCATGGATGGTGCGAAATTTTAAAAGCTTTTCTATATCTCAGACATATCAAGCCTCCTCTTGTGCTGGTTGGTAATTCTTGCCTTCTGGCCTCATTGTTAATTCTATAGAACGGCCATAAGTAGTTTATCAAGCTTATTCTCCTTGTTCTCTTCCATTCTCTGTGCTAATCCCTATAAACACTTTAATCCTACTTTCATCGTATGACCTCCTGTTGAGGTCATGTTAAAGGTTTGGATTTAGGCCAGTCTAGCTGACCTTTGTAAGCCAATTGTCCGATCAACTAGGCAGTTTAAGGAAACAAATCTTTATAGGATGTCAAGTGTTCAAATAACTTCTTGTGTATGAGCCGGAAGGTCTCCAACTCAGAAACGTTAAGGCAATGTCAAAATCAGACTACGGCGGGATTTCAAAATTCCAAAAATGATTGCAATACAAATAAGTCTAATTTTCTCCTTTTACATTGTTTTTTTACCCCCTTTCTCAATTCTCTATAAGCTAATTGTATGTTGAAATAATGACCATTGTAGATTGGCTTTGTCTAAGGACTTGGCTACTATTTCATATACTTGATTTACTGCTCTGACAATGTAAACCACAGGGCGGAGGAAAGCTTAATGAATTTTCATCGAAGAATACTTTGCTTAAATCTACATTC